TTCAGTGTTTTTGTCAGACAATGAATAAAGATTTTGCTCATCAGGACTTTTTTTTCCAAAGTTGAGCATTTATGAAAAAATGATATGTAAATATTGATAATTTTTTTTACTGGATATGACTGACAAATTTTCAAAAGTTAAATTGCTGAGTAGTGGTTGCTTCTATTATGTACAACTATTTTTTATATAAAGAGTAACCATAACACTTTCCTTTAGCAGATGTATCTACTTTTTTATTTATTAGAGAAAGGTGTCAGTACAGTAGACACTTGGAGATTGGTTAAGCATTTTCCTGGATTTTAAATACATGAGTTTTCCCACTTTTATTCACTCAGATTACTATTTTACATAAGTAGGCCAAAGGACTAATTTATAAACAATAAATATGAAAGTCTAGATTAAGTATAATATATGATTTACAATGTTTTTTGGTGTTCTTAGAATTTTACGGCCCCTCCTGGTGTCTGACCCCAGCCGATAGAGGACTGTGTCAAGCCAACGAGAGCCGATTCTACTACAATTCAACCATTGGGAAATGCCGCCCATTTAAGTACAGTGGATGTGGAGGAAACGAAAACAATTTTACTTCTAAAAAAGCATGTCTTAGGACTTGCAAAAAAGGTACAGAGGTGTTTCTCCCATAATTCACTAATGTTTAGGATAATAATTATATTGAAACCATTAATGAATTTTCATCTGTGAAAAATATGAAATTAGTTCTATTTATGATAAGAAACAAAGTACTGTGATTTAGCTAACAGATGTCTCCTTTCCAAATATATTTAGATAATATTGCTGAATGTTAACTGCAATTCTTCTTAATATGTCTTCATAAGAATCAGTTAAACAAAACATTTTATTCTTTTAATATTTACATATCAAGCTATAATTTTAAAGGATTGTACCAAAATACCTTTATGCTTTCCCATAATGCACAAAATCTTAGTATATTTATTTTCTTCTGCATATATAATTACAAACTTGGGAGAGTATTAACATGTAAATAAAAATCACCTAAAATTTCATCAACCACATACAGCCACATGTCCACTTTAATAAAATAAACATCAATTTATAACTGAAGATGCATAAAAAAAACCAAGAACGTGCTTCTTCATTTTGGCTTAACTCATATATGCAAAGTGACTTCCTTAGATACAATTGTTCTACACAATGAGATAGACAAATTAAAGGCTTTTAAACTAATCACATTTGTTTTTGTTTCAAAGATTAAAAGATAATTTGAGGAAATTTTAGATGAAGTGTTTTATTATGTCACTTTATTAGTCATAAATTTGTTTCTCTTCCTTTTGTAGGTTTCATCCAAAGATTATCAAAAGGAGGATTAATTAAAACCAAAAGAAAAAGAAAGAAGCAGACAGTGAAAATAATCTATGAAAAAATTTTTGTTAAAAAAGATAAAAATTTGCTGCATTATTACAACATCACTTCTAAATATTTTGGATGAAACTGTTCACTATATTTGTACTTTTTTCTTTCCTTTCAATGAAATATTTTTGTGAGTTTTCATATATATGTATTACCTGTTAATACATTTGCATCACAGTTTCTTTTATAATCTAGTCAAATTGCTTATTTTAGGGCTATAATTAACTGATTACTATGAATTATTCTCTCAATCCCTTTCTAACTATTTGCCATTTAACTACAAATTACCATACTAGTGGCCACAAAAATAAGTCAGTTTTTCCATTTGGTGATCATCTATTTGAGAATATGTTGTCACTTACTTATTTTGATCATGTATACAGTGATCTCCTTTAAAACCTCTGCCCAAATTAAGAAATGCAACTTTTACATATCAATCATTTTTTGGGTTTCATATCTATCATGGGGACAAGTACCTTCTTCCAATAAAAATCACTCAAATTGTGCATTTTGAAAAAGCTGGTAGTAAAATTCTATCTTGTGCTTCCCTCCTTAGACATACTTTTTCTCTTTGTATACTAACAAGTATCTCTATTGATCATGAGCCAAACCATTATCTGAACAAAGAGAGTCAGCTCTGTCATGTGCATGATTTTGATTGGCTTTTTTTTTTTGGTTATGGTCTAATATAACAGTAAAGATGGTTGAACAGTGTGTGTTAAATGTAGATCATGATAAGAAGAAACTTGGTAGAAAAGGGAAGTTTTTAATGACAATCAAAAGGGAATTTCTGTTTACATACTTCCTAATTTTTATTGACAAACTTTTCTTTTACCAAAATAGCAAGAATATTTAAACCTCCTGTGACCTACCTATTCATTTATCAGTAGGGTTTGCAATGACAGCAGTAAGTCATGCTTCAAAAAAAATCATGTTGTTTCTGTAGAAGAGGGTGAGAAAATTATCAGCAAGTAAGATTCTACTAGAAAATCTATGTGCTATTCACTCTCAGGGTCTTAATTAACATTTCTCTGGAGTTAATTCTCTTTATCCAGATCTGTCTTTCCTTCTCTGCTGAACCATGTGAAGTCTGGAATCTCAACAGCCTCCTAGACATTTCAGTCTCTCTAGTGTTCACATCAAATTTCACATTTAATTTGAAATTGTCTTTTAGAAATAATAACCACTTCATCCATTTAGTTTAGCTTAATGACTTCTCTTTAGGAATAATATTATATTTGTTCCTAAGGCTTAAGTTTGAACCCAATTTTGATTTCTTACTTTCCTTCATATAGCACATCTAATCTGTCTCTAAAGACTATTGCTTCCTTTTTCATATAGTTTATCCAACTCTCCGGCTTTTTACCCCTACTGAATTCTTCACATCAGTATTGATACAATTCAGTATACCTCTCCACCACTTAAAATCCTTCAAAGACTCACTAGTTGGTACTTAACCCTACCCCATCCCCCACAATTTAATTTTTATATATATATGTTTTTTGGACTTCTCTACACTACTCTCTTTCATGACAATTTCAATTCAGTTAAAAGGGTATTCACTGTTCACTGAATGCTTCTTTAGTTACTCAGCTTATTCATGCTGATTTCTTATTTAAAAATCTGGTCCCCTCCAGATTCATCTGAAGTCTGGGTCCAGCTGATATGAACTACAAAATCATTGCATTTTTAGGCAGAATGTGAAGTCCTAACATACAGTCACAAATCATTAAAATTATACCATTACATGTGGCATAAAATTATATTATCACAAAATAGTGTCAGTTCACTTAATAAAACTGTTATAACTTCATTTCAAATATTGAGTATATAAGTAACTGTTTTAGAGAGAGTGTTTGTTGTAGAATTTTGAGACTTTTGGAAATCAAAATCCCTTTTGAAATACGCTCTGCTGTCATTTACAGGTGGATAACAATAGCTTTAAATAAAGGGTAAAGTATCTAGTCAAGTGGCAAGTTGCCACCACGGACATATAAACAGCACATTCATCAGTGAGTTGATTAGTTATTTGCTCTAACAAACATTCCTGAGTTCATTACTTAGTCAAGAAAGACACAATGAGATGGTGTGTAATATTTAATGCATGTGAATATTATCTTTACTGTGTTTTTAAATAAGAAGCCTTCTGTTAGTACTGTTTTGCTTTACATAATCAAATACACTTAACTGTGAATTTCATACAGTATTACATTGTATAGCGTATACATGTATTTACCTACTTTGTTTATTGTTTGTTCAAATTTAACAGGTAATGCTGAAAACTGCTCAAGTGATTTTATTTTTACATGGTAAGAAATATAATATTATCCTGAATAATAACAAGTATGATGGCTAGACTCAAAGTTTTTTTTATTGCAAAAAAATTTAGTGCTCTTTAGTTAGAACCCTAAGACAAAGAAAAAAATTGTTGCACAAGCTCCAGTCAACTTTTACCTCCTTTAATTCAAATATGATAATCTCCTTTCAGTTATGATTTTAATTCTATGTATTATGACTTCTTATTTGTTAAACAAATCAGTACACTATATCTTACAATCCATATATTCTACATTCAATGCATTTCATATGTATTTCTACTAACCACCTTATAAATAATTGTATAAATTTGGCATATATATGGAAAGATATACCATGTAACTATACTTTTATACTTGACTTCTAATCTTGACTATTTCCATACCAGAGGAAGGAAGAAAATGACACTGAAATAAACTATGTAGGTGACTTCTTGATTTTTAAAAAAATCATCTGCTCCTGTTTTTGTCTGGTTTTTATGAAGTTAGTATTTTTATTTAGTTTTTCTACCTTTTGACTTACAGTTCTTTCTTGAGGACTTTAGCGTGGACACATCTTAATTGATTTTTCTGCATTCTGCTATGCAGAACAGGAAAACTTGATCTTGTCAGTCCCGCAGGCCGTCTCCAAACTACTTTAACCACAGAGCTGGTGTCTTGGCTAAAATTATTCAGACCACTTCTAAAGAGAGTAAGTGATACATAGTAATTCGGTTTACCAAAGAGAGAGAGAGAAGTACAGAGGCATTTAATCATAAAATACAATAGATAAAATAGGGTATTAACAATGATTAGGATTTTTCTCATTAATTTGCTCACAGATGAGAAAAATTCTGGCCCAAACAGTCTAAAACAAAGATATAGTTGATCACAAAGTACAGAGGTATTTGACTTCAGTACAGATGTATTCAAGGACTTGTATTGTCATCAAAACTCAGTCTGTCTTTGCCTGTGATTCTACTGCCCAATATTTTTGCCTTTATTTTCTAATCTCGTAGGGTTTCCAAATGACTTCCAGATTTTCAGGCCCACATCCTCTCAGTGTTAAGTTTGCTAGAGAAGTTTGGACTCTATTACCTCAAAGAATTGAATTATAGTTCTGGCCTCAGGAATGATCTGTGAAAGAAATAATTGATAAGCAGGGCTTCATTAAAATTAAAAACTTCTGCTCTGCAAGAAATAATATCAAGAAATTAGAAGATAAGCCACAGACTGGGATAAAATATTTGCAATAGACACATCTGATAAAGGACTGTTATCCAAAATATACAAAAAAAATACAAAACTTAATACTAAACAACTTTTTTAAAAAAATGGGTCAAAAACAGTAACAGACACTTCACAAATGGAAAATATACATATGAAAAGATGCTCCATATCATATGTCATCAGGACAATGTAGATTAAAACAATAATGTAGCTAATACTACATAGCTATAAGAATGGTCAAAATTAGGTACACTGACACTACCAAACGCTGACAAAAATGTGGATGGGACAAGAGCAACTCATTCACTGCTGGTAAGAATGCAAAATGGTATAGCCACCTTGGAAGACAGTTGGCAGTTTCTTACAAAACATATTATACTATCCAGTAATCATGCATGGTATTTACCCAAAGAATTTGAAAATGTCCACACAAAAATATGCACACAGATGTTTATAGCCACTTTATTCACAATTGCCAAAACTTGGAAGCAACCAAGATGTCCTTCAGTAGATGAATGGATAAACTGTTACACCCAGACAGTGGAATGTTATTCACTGCCAAAGAGAAATGAGCTATCAAGCCATGAAAGGACATGCATGTTACTAAGTGAAAGGAGCCAATCTAGAAAGGCTACCTACTGTATGATTCCAAATATATGGCATTCTGGAAAAGGTAAAACTGGAAACAGTAAAAAGATCAGTGATTATCAGGGGTTGTGGGGGAGATGAATAGGCAGGGCACAGAGAAATATTGTGCAGTGAAAATATTCTGATACCATAATGATAGAAATGTCATTTTATATTTGCCGAAACCCATGGAACATGTAACACCAAGCACAAACCATAATGTAAACTATGGACTTTGGATGATCATGATGTGTCAATGTAGGTTGATCATCTCTAACAAATGTACCACTCTGGCGGGGAATGATGGTAACGGGGAGGTCATGCATGTGTCATGGTAGACGATATATGGAAAGCTGTACCTTCCCTTCAATTCTGCTGTGAACTTAAAATTGCTCTAAAAAAATAAAGCCTATATTAAAAATCCTGGCCTCACTCTCTGACCCAAATATCTAATGGCCAGCCTTGACCCAAACACCATATTGAGAGAAACATGACTTTCTGATTGACCAGATTTGACTCTACTTCCATATAATTAGTTGGTATAAAATCTATTTGAAATTTGTGGTCTGATTGGCAGGGCTGGGACTAGAATGAACAAGTGAGGCACTGGCCTCAGGTATAAAATTTGAGGGGATATAAAAAATCTCAGTAACAAGGATAAATAATATTATAATGTAGTATTTAATATTAAAAAATTCATGAAGATATAAAAATTTTCAGAAGACAGGATTAGTAGCTGAACCTTATTAGAATCTGATATAAATGGTAAAACCAGTAATACCAATCCTTCATTAAGAAATATAAAAATAGTTCAAATTTGATCATTGTTTAATATAATAAAAAATATTGACAGTCAAAATTAAGCCAAGTTATTTTTTTCAATAAAAAATCATTTGATTAAATACTTGTTTCATCATTAAAAATTTAGTAAACTAGAGAAGTGACCTTTCTTAATCTGATGAAAAATATCTACCAAAAACATAAAACATGATACTTATTGGTAAAATTTTAGAAACATTCCTATTAAGCTCAGGAACACAACCAAGATACTCTCCATTACTGTCACCATTCAACATATCTAGGCAGTCTTATTTCACTAAACCAAAAAAGACAAGAAACAAATTAGGCATAAATATTACATTATATTACAGTTACTTTCAGGTAATATTATTTTCATAAGTAAAAATCCAAGACCATCTAAAACAATTAGAAATAATACTGGAGTTCAGCAAAATTGCTATATGCAATTCAGTATATGAAATCAATAGCATTTCTGTACACTAAAAAGAAAATAGAAAATATGTACTAGTCAATATAGAACAAAAATACTAAGATACTTAACAGTGAATTTCACAAAAGATGTATAAAGAGATTTTTTTGAGAAAAACCCCAGAGATAATTCGCTTTTTTAATTGAAGGACACACAAAAAGCTAAATCGTTTTCTATTTTTCATAATCCTTGTAGTATTTTCAGAGAAATAAGACAATAACACTATATTCTGAAGGAAAAAATATTAAAATTCAATAAACATTTTTTTTCAAAATTAAGGAACAGAAGAAAAAGCAAAGATCTCTAAGCTATACAAAGAAACACCTATAGAAAAGGAAAACAAGATAGAAAACAATAAAATTAGAAAGTCAATTCTGGGACCCAACCTTGAAGTAAGGTTCAGAAAAAAAGATAAAATAGAGGAGGGAGGGAGATTTTATAGAACTAAACAACACGTTTCCTTTATCGAAATGGTGTATTGTATCCAACAAAGGAAAACCCACCCAGCACACCCCCTACACACCCCACCACACATACATACATGAAATTTCAAATACTAGTGATAAAAAGAATATCTCTAAAGGACAGGGAAGAATGTGGAAGAATAAGTCACATACAGAGAAATAGAAATAACAATGGAATTGTGTATCTCAATGGCAAGAATGGAAGGAAGCCAGAATAAATTGGGGTATGGAAGTTTGAGGGAAGAGGAGTAGCTGCTTACTACTTGTAAGCTTTTAGTGCTAATTGATCTTTTAATTCTGTGCCTGTAGAGCTTTACTGAAAAATAAAAGTTACTTAAAATTATAAAGCTGTTTACTACGCTGATGGACAGTGACTGTAATGGGGTATGTGGGAGGACTTGATAATGGGGGGAGTCTAGTAACCATAATGTTTGAGTACTTGTACATTAATGATATCAAAATAAAAAATAAAAAATAAAAAAAATTATAAAGCTGTATAATGCTTTCACTTTCCATCAGAGGCATTGGGGAAAGTTGTGGTATGTGAACTAAGATATTTTTTCTTGTACCAATACTGATACTACTAGTGGATGAATTTGTTGTCAAATTTCCTTAGGTCCACTTTACTCACATTTGGAATGAGTGTTTTGGTCTAGACTGACTATAAGAATTCTTCCAGTTGGGCATTTTAGGATTTTATGAGAATGCTTTTTATTTAATAGCACCCAACACCACTCTACAGTAAGCCAAAAATGTAAAGGTGTTCTATGATTAAAAAACAAAAATCAACAAGGGTCAGGCTCTTCTCTTGGTAATAACTGCAGCCCTTCTAGCACGAGGTGGTCATCTGCAGTCATCTGCTATATTTCTTCAAAACTAGCCTATGTTGGTGCTGCTTGCCATCTCCAGACTGACTACATCTGTAACAAATTCCCATTTCAGTCCCTGATTGATTCCCAAATGTCAAATTTTTATGAGAAGTTTCTAAGTTACTGTTTACAGGAGGCCTCATTCATTTTGGGAGATTCTGAATACCTCAGTAATTGGGTACAACTATGATTTTTTTCCTGAACAATTCACTTTTCTCCCCTCAAGACTATATGCATTCTAGAGAAAAGAATGCATGTGCTTCTGATTTACACTAAGTCATCTTGGCATTTTAAGCTCCTGACAAGTTTTGATACAATTTTGAAAGCATTTAATCTCTTTCTAAAATCATTCCTATAAGAGCTAGCAAATACTTTATTTCAATCTAAAATTTATTCTAATAAGTTTTAAGCAAACCCAGTTGTAGCCAAAATTCACTCATTGCTGCCAACATTACTGATGACTTGTTCTTCATTCATTAGGAGATAACATTAGCTAAGTCAATTATGAACCTGAGTGTCTTTGGGATTTTAATTCATTTTTAATCCATACTTTCACAGAAGGTATTTTTCTAATTTACTGAACTTTTTCTTTAACAGCAGGTGCTCTCCAGTTAGAAGCCAGAGGAAACTGCTACTTCCTTCTTAGTCAATTTTTGGAATAAGAAAACAATAATTGACTTTCCAATACTCTTTTGTTTAGTTTTGTTTTTTTTTATATTTTCCCCACTCTCAACAGAATATTCCACAAAATTGTAAATCACTCTAGGGAAATTTCCAGAGAGTTTCAAAATGTGAACAGCTGTGAACTACCTAAATGATCTATCTGGCCAAGAAACTGTTACTCCGGAGATGAAGAAATAATTACCATTTTTTTTACTCAAAAGTGTCTGCCACTGTTCAGCGTGAAAGCCTTTAGAATTGTAAAGCTTCGTATGTTGGACAAATTTTGATTTAACTCTTTGCATATTCTCCTTTCTTCACAAGCTACACATATGTACACACAGAGCATCA